CTATCGCGCCTGTACAGCCTATAGCCCCTAATGTTAACTGCCCAGTCATGGGACGAGTCCCACCACGTCTCTGTTAGCCCTATGACATCTGGGTTTGAACTAGCTATTCTGAGGGCGAGTTCCTCCAGTTTGTTCCCCATGCTACGAGCATTGGTGTACAGGCATTTAAGGCCTTGCAAGACTGTGTGCGCCCCCCCCCAATTAGGAAGACTATCAGGACCCCCATTACTTACCCTTACACTCCTTGCCCTGATGGCGTCTCCTTGTCTTCTGGCAGCCCCCTCCCCCGGCAAGTCTAGTTTAAAGGGTGTGGCCTTGCAAACAGCTTCTTCCATGAATACGCTCTCCTTTCATTCTTCACGCTGAAATGCTGGAGTAGTTGGGCACACCTCCACTTGTGGCAGGAACTCCGTTCCACTGTCTATAATTAAGGCCAAAAGAGTTATACTGAGCCCAGCCAGCCCAGCAGCCCATCCCCAATGGCTGCAAGCAGTGGAAGCTTTAGAGGAAATGTGCAAGAAGTAGGGGGGGTATAGAGTGGCCCCTCCCCTGTCAGACCCCTCCATCACCAGTACCTAAAAAATTCCATAAGTTAACACCACGCACCCTCCACCCCCTAATTTGAAAAAGGCGTAGATGGCTTGGAGCAGGAAAACTTAGCCTGGAGTCATCCATGCTAAGTCATTGTGAAGTGACATGGTGCTTCACAGAACATGGGAGACATGTGGGGGCTGCCCCCTGCACACTGCATTTGGGAGTGGCCCCCATGTCCCTATGCCAGGGATTACAATTGGCCAGCACTCTGTGCGCCCTCTGCACAGGTGTGAAGGAGTCTTTGCAGTCTCGTTCACTGCACCCTCATGATGCCATTTACATGAATGCAAGGCAGGTGCGGAGGTTGTTTGTCTCCATACACCCACCAGGAACTAATATCACCAATCCCATTAAGGGCAGGGCAAGAGCATGTGGGGCCTCTTGCTCTTTCCCTCTAAGGGCCCAGGCCAAACCAGAAGGTGTGAAAGGGAGCTGGGCTCTCAAGGAGAAGGCTTGTCCATCATGATCTCTGAGACACTGCAAGGCAGAAGTACAGTGCTCCCTGCACCACCATATTCAGCTGCAGCTGGGGACTGAGCCAGCTGAGCAGACTTTCTGTCCTGCAGGAATTTCCTTGGGTTCTGAATCAGAATGAAAAGACAGTGTTTCCCAGGAAATGGGCAGTCCAAACATCTTCAGTTCAGTGCCACTGTGCCAGTGAACTGTCAGATCCTCTCCAGCCATATTAAACAACCCTAATATGGACCATTTGACATCCCAGATGGACAAAACATAATGGACAGTGCATGGTCAATGCTGGAAAGCAGAAGGGGACTGAACCCAAGGGAGGAGGTCAAAGGGTGAGGTCTTCACTGCAGTGAAACAGGAGGCTTGGCTGTTAAGGGAATGAAAAGGTTGTCTTGGCTTATTCTGATGCTTCCTGGGTGAAAATGTTAGTGAAGCTGAAGTGCTGGCTGTGGCAAAGCAGCATGTCCTGAAGAGTGCTGCTCTGCCAGCATTCTGGGCCACATGCCAATGGTGAACATCTGATGGGCATGGGCACATCCGCATCTGTGCTGGGGGTGTCCACTGAACCTCATGGGCCCTTCCAGCCTTAGGACCCTACTGGTCTAATGAAGCAACCAAGAAACTCCAGGGCAGGGTAGAGGTATGAGGTGGGGCTGGCAGGGTTTGGTGGCCAAGTCAGTGGATTGATACCCTGTGCTCTGCTTCAGGTTTGCAGCAACCCACATGCCATATGTTCCAGGCCCCCTGACCTTTCCTTCCTCCAACCACTGATTATCTTTGGATCAGCCAAGCTGGGGCTTTTCTCCCTGCCTTTCTTCTGTTTCTGTAAATAAGACTGGTATTTGTTCTGCAGTGATTAGGTGCAAAACTAATCCCAGGCCAGGGATTATTGCAGCCTTAAAGAGCCAAGATCTTCAACAGCCCCCAGTGTTAGGGGATCGAGAGCAGAGGGAGGCTAGAACCAGGAAATGGAATAACAACTTCACACCCTTCCAACACATCTTCCCTCTGGGGATCTCCAAGCACTGCTCAGACAGGGAAACGGCCAGTCTGTGGCTGAACCAGGAATCCTTTTCCTTTCCTCTCTGCCAAGCACAGGGAACACTGTTTGCATGCATGGGGCTGCCTATCATAGGAGACCAACTGTTTTCACAGTGCAAAGAATCACCCTCCACTGCCTCAGAATGCAGCGCAGGGCAGTCTCCATTTCCCCATCAGCTGGTCACCAGTTTAAAGGGAAGGCTCAGACCTTTAGTACCATAATTGTTTGCTTCCCATTACTGGAGCCTTTACAGTTTCCCCTTCTCAGCAGATGTGGCATTATTGGCATCTTGGGTAGCTCACACAATCTCAGGCATTATCCTGTATTGCCCCATGAAGGGGCCCACACCACCCTCTGCACTGGGTATGCCACACTCCTCCAGGACTGGTTAGTCAGCTCTTAATCCTGATGGCTAGGACTCTGAAATGCCTGGAAACCCTGAGGATTAAGTGAACAATTATTTTCAGGCATCTGTTGATTAACAGCACCACAAAGAGCCGAGTAGCCCGACTGCCACCATATGGCCATTTTAATGCACAGATGATGGTTGCAGCAAAGTGGTGCCCTTAGGTTGTATCACAAAGCAGCATCACAGTGCAACCTTCCAGGGCAGAGGAAGTGCCTGAAGTGCAGCCCCATGACAGGCTGTGACACACGAGAGTTGTTCACCAAGTCATGTGATAGTGCAGACCATGCAA